CTCCACCTGTGACGGTCCACCCCCCACACCTCACCGTGAGAGGGTTCCAGGGCCCCATCCAGCTCCACCTGTGACGGTGTACCCCACCCCCACGCCCACCGTGAGAGGGTTCCAGGGCCCCACCCAGCTCCACCTGTGACGGTGTACCCCACCCCCACCCCCACCGTGAGAGGATTTCCGGGGCCCCACCTGGCTCCCATCCCCATCTCCTGTGTTCTCTCTGCTGCTTGCGAGGTCACCTGGGCTGGAAAGGGTGCCCGGGATGCTGCTCAGACGTCTTGGCTGCCCTCCCACTCCCACCCTCCATCCCCCACTCCCAGTTTTCAGGATGAAATTGCCGTCAAATAAAGCGTTTTTGAGTCAGCTTGCAAGAGGAAGGAAGTTTGCTTCAGTCGTCTCGTTTTGTTGGAACAAAGAGATCTAAAGATAGACACATGGCTCCCCTCCCTGGACTGTCTTTGCCGGGACCCTGTTTCTGTGAGGAAAACTCAGTGGGGGGGTTCACCTGTGTATCAGGTGAACCAAGGGCACCTCTGCCCTTCCCACCCTTGGGAAATCTCACCACGTCAGCCCCGTAGTGGCCAGAAGAGATCAGCCCTCCCAGGTGGGGCTACTGTGGTCGGTGCTGGGAACGGGCAGGGGCAAGCCTGGCCACCCCCTCGTCGGTCCCACCTGCTGCCTCTGCCCACATGGCAGGGGAATGGACGGGGCAGCCTCTGCCCAGCCTCAGACGTGAGGCCCTAACTCTCCCCTCTCAGACCCGCCGTGGGGTCATCATGGGGTCACCACTGGGGACTTGGTTGGGGTGGGGCTGGGGAGGGAGCTGGGCCTTGGGTGGCGAACATGGGTTAGGGGCCCACCACCTCCCAGACATCCGACAGCACGGAGCCCCATGGAGGCCACGCTCGCCTGCCTGCGTCTCCTCCGGGGACCTGTCTCCTGAACCAAGTGGCCACCATTGTTCCGTGCACTTCTTAGTCTTGTGGCTGCAAAATTAAGTAGATTATTTATAGAAATTATGATCATAAAGGGCAGTTTTTCCCGTCATTCTTGAGTGGGTTCAAAAAACCAGGAAGAATGAAAATTTACACACGTAAATGGAAGAACGCCCAGTGCCCTGAAAATCGCAGGGCCCGCCTGCAGAAGGCTCCATGAAGAAGGGGAGGTTAACACTCCACTGTGGGCCGGAGAGCATCACAGGCCTTTTCGGGTTCACAGAGTGGCCGGGGACCACTTCAGGTGTCGTGATGTGTTAGAGTTTATTTGTACAAGCTTAGCTGTGTGCAGTTTCTGATTACGCACATGGGGAACCCTGCTTTTCAAACCCAGAATGAGGTCTAAGGACAATATTTAGAGTTAGTTCTGGCCCAAAGAGTCCAGAGGCACTGGGGGCTGCCAGCAGGTGGACACTGCAGTGCGGATGGTGGACAGGTGATGTGGACGGTGGACAGGCGGTGTGGACGGTGGACAGGCGGTGTGGACGGTGGACAGGCGGTGTGGACGATGGACACTGCAGTGCGGATGGTGGACAGGCAGTGTGGATGGTGGACACTGCGATGCAGACGGTGGACAGGCAGTGTGGACGGTGGATAGGCGATGTGGACACTGGACACTGCGATGCAGAAGGTGGACAGGTGGTGTGGATGGTGAACAGGTGGTGTGGACGGTGGACACTGCAGTGCGGATGGTGCACAGGTGTTGCTTTGCGCCCCACGGGCCTGTGATGCCAGAAAGTAGGAACCCACCTGTGAGGGGTTGGGGCCTTGGCGTTGGATTCCACAGGATGCTCTGGGAAGGCACCCCCTCCCTTCCTCTGCTATGTTAGCAGGGGCAGCTGCTGGGCCAGGCGCTGTGGTGAGGGTGGGGAACCCCAGGCATGGTCCCTGCAGCCTTGAGTGGGGGTTTGCAGGCACCCATGGAGGGTGCAGGCTGCCATGAGGGCCCCTGCCTGGTGGGGAGGTGGAGAAAGGCCTCTCTGAGGTGGCATCTTGATAGGAAATTGAGTGGGGTCAGACTGGCCACAAGAGGAGCGGCTGAGCAAGGGCCCCAGGCCCGGACCTCACCCTTCCAAGGACCTGAGTGTGTGGCAGCCCCTGGAGGGGTGGATGAGGAGCCTACAGTGGACAGCCTGTCCCAGAGGCAGCTTCACACCCACACGCACCACTCTCTCAGAACGTGGAGGGACGGCGGGCGGTGTCTGTCTGTCTTTCTCTAACACACAGGAAAGACATTTGCTGTCAGCAGGGCCCCAGAGCAGGCGCTGGTAAGGTCCAGAGCCAGGTCAGGAACGCCTGAGCTCATAGGGAACAGGCCAGGCCAAACACGGCGCCTCTCAGAGCTGCCAGAACAGTTTGGGAGTCATGGTGGAAGCGTCCACATCGATGCCTGACTCTCGCGGTCGACGCCTCTGAAAGTTGAGGTGCGGCGAGGGAGCCACAGACATGGGCCAGTGCCTCCCCGTTTGTGGCCCCAGTGAGCCTGGGCCGCCAGCATCCCGCAGCCATCACCGACCTTGGCACCCCCCTGTCCAAGCCATCCCCCCCGTGATGAACCTGCCAGCTCACAGTATCCACAATCTTTTTTTGTAGCCCCCAGAATTTCTAAAACTCCAGGGAGGCCCTTGCCCTGTGACCCTTTCCGTGTCAGCGATGCGCTTCTCCTGGGGTTAGCAGGTGTTGGATTTGAGGACGGTGCCTCCTGACTTCCTCTCTGAGGCTACGGTCACTCCTGGCGAGAGAGAAAAACTTACTGTAAAATTTGAACGTCCAACTGCGCAGTCTAGGCTGCCATCGGCTGCACCAGACGCACATTCCAGAGAGGTGTGCGCCAGTGGAAGTCACCCTGCCAGGAGCATAAAACAGTATTTCATGCTTTACTGCTTGACTGTTTCTTTCTCCCACAAAAGAAGCCATTGCTGGCACATGGTTGCATACTGGGAACGGGTCTGTGCCCTGAACTCTCCCTGCAAGGCTCCGCAGAAGGGCCTTGACATCTGCTTGGCTCTGGCAGGCCCCGTGACACCGTGGTCCCGCCACTTCCTCACCAGCACCAGGGTTGTCTCCGGCTCCGAGGCAAAGCAGTCCCGTAGCCGGCAGGGCCGCAGCCAACACGGCCCAGGAGGGGCCCCTGTGTGTTCCACTGCGTCCCGTGTTTACACTTGTTTGTCTGCAAGACTGGAAGAGCAGGATTTAAGTCTGATGCCAGGTAGATATTATCTTGTGGCCTCCGCTGGGAATTTCCAGGTACAAACACTTCTGTCCCATATCTTCAGGCTGTTAGTGGCCTGGGTCCTCAGGTGTGGAAGAATTGAACGTTTAAGCCATTCTCAGGTCCTCAGCGTGAGTCCTGTGTCTTTCAGAGAGAAATTGTGTGGATGTTCAAGATTGCAAATGTGGCTATATGATGAGCGTGCTGGCCAGAAATCGTGTCTGGTCTGTGGTCAGTGGTCAGTGTCCCCGAGGCATAGTAGCCCAGCAGCCGCTCTGTGGCACAGAACACCAGCCTGTCAGTCCACACAGCTTTCCCTGGAGGGTCTTACTGGCCTCGTGCTCCCAGCTGGTGCTGGCTCCATGCTCCCGGCTGATGCTGACCCTGTGCCTCCAGCTGGTGCTGGCCCTGTGCTCCCCCTGTGTTCGCGGCTGGTGCTGGCCCTGTGCTCCCCCTGTGTTCGCGGCTGGTGCTGGCCCTGTGCTGGCCCTGTGCTCCCCCTGTGTTCGCGGCTGGTGCTGGCCCTGTGCTCCCCCTGTGTTCGCGGCTGGTGCTGGCCCCGTGCTCCCCCTGTGTTTGCGGCTGGTGCTGGCCCTGTGCTTTTGACTGGTGCTGACCTCGTGCTCCCAGCTGATGCTGGCCTAGTGGTCCCGGCTGGTGCTGACCCTGTGCTCCCCGTGCTCACAGTCAGTGCTGGCCCTGTGCTGCTGGCTGGTGCTGGCATAGTGCTCCTGGCTGGTGCTGGCCCCATGCTCCCGGCTGGTGCTGGCTCCGTGCTCCCCCATGCTCCTGGCTGGTGCTGGCCCCATGCTCCCCCGTGCTCCCAGCTGATGCTGGCCTAGTGCTCCCACCTGGTGCAGGCCCCATGCTCCCAGCTGATGTTGGCTACGTGCTCCCGGCTGGTGCCGACCCTGTGCTCCCGGCTGATGCTGGCCTAGTGCTCCCAGCTGGTGCTGGCCCTGTGCTCCTGGCTGGTAGTGACCCCATGCTCCTAGCTGATGTTGGCCTAGTGCTCCCCCCATGCTCCCGGCTGGTGCTGGCCTGGTGGCCGCAGGTGCTTCAGTGCATCCAGACCCATCTGGAACCTGCTGGGTGGGGGAATGGGTGCGGGAGTTGACCCTGCTCTTGCCATCCTGCCTCATTTGTGTCCAGCTAATGGCAAGGCCAGGGATGTGGCACAGACCCCCAGGGTCCCGTGTGTGCGGAGGCAGTGGCCCATTCCGTGGTCAGGTTTTCCTCATGGGCCATAAGTTACTGCACCTGCAACAGGCCGGCAGGGGTCACCTGAACATCTTCCCCGACGTGGGTGGGACTCAGACCAAAGTGTATTTATCCCAGGACCAGGACCAAGCGCTTTCCTGCTGCTCCCCTGCCTCCTCTCTGCCCAGGTCTCTCTCTTTGTCCCTCCCTCTCTCTGTCTGTCAGTCTCTCTCTCTGAACCTCTTATACCACACTTTCAAAATCGATGGTGAATCATTCAACACACAGCTTTTGTGTGCTGAGAAACAAAGGCCTCCACGTATTGGAAACTGAAAAGCCTTTTTCCAGCCACGTGACCCGCTCCTGTAGGTGCCTGTGGATGTGCCGCTCCACCTGGGATCGGGTGGGCGCTCGCAGGGTGAGGCAGTGTCCTGGGGCTGACGCGTGCTGTCTGCTCTTTCCGTGCAGATGAAATCATGCACCAGGACATCGTCCCGCTCTGTGCTGCTGACATCCAGGACCAGCTGAAGAAGCGCTTTGCTTACCTGTCTGGTGAGTTCCAGAAGCCGGGACAGGGTGGAGAGGGAGGGGTCCGGGGCCGGGTGTGGGCTGAGCAGTCGCCACAGCCTGGTCATTCACTGCCTTGGGTCTGACCTGTGACCTGGCAGCTCTCCCCATCTCTGTGAAGTGGGCAGCTCCATGCCAGTTGGCACACGGCCACTGGGAGGAGGTGGGCGGAGGAGGGTCAGGGGGACGTGGCCTGAGCACCCCTGACGGCGGCCTCCAGGGACAGATGGAGTGGGGCGTGGGTGGCTGAGCCCATGGGCCTTAGTGACCCGCAGTTCCTGCTGCATCTGGGCACCTCCCAGGCCACGACTCGTCCACTGTGGCCTCCAGCCCTGCGTCTGGCACACCTGTGGAGGTGGTGCCTGTAGACTTGGGGACATAGTGAGGCTCCCAGCCCCCCATGTGGGTGCAGCAAGGGCACCTGCAGTGACCCCGAGCTGTGCAGACGCCGTTCTTATGTGAACAAATCTGCCCAACAGGACCCATCAGAAAAAATACATGCAAATGTGTGCCCTCCCTGGGACATAAGGGTGCCCTGATGCCGAGGGCGCAATGCTCTCAGGAGCTCAGCCTCTGCCCCTCTGCATTCTCATTAGCAGCCCAGCCCCCAATCCATGGCTGGCATGGTGGGGCCTCCATCCCGCACGGCCACCTCCAGAGCCAGCCCACACCCCAGGCTGGGCCTTGGGGTCTGAGGGAGGCTGACTGCCAGGGGCCGAGGTGTAGCTGGCGAGTTTTACGAGACCAAAATCGAAGAGACAGCAACATGATGGCCAGAGGAGGAGAGCTGTCCAGGGACTCGGTCCTGCTTTCCATGGCGGAGAGGCCCAGGAGGAGGAAGGATAGAAAGCAGGGGGTCTCTGGAGAACTGAAAACTCCCAGGGAACAAGGGCTCCAATCCCCCTGCGTCGGGGACCAGGTGTGGTGATGACTCAGGAGAGGCACCGTGGTTTCTGCCGGTTCCTCCTGCGTCCCCAGCCTCTCCCCGCCCCTTTCATGACTCCCAAGAGGCTCACAGCTTTGCCACCAGGAGGGCCCCGACCTGGGCCTCCAGCCTTGACCTTCCTCCAGTTGCCAGGCAGTGCCCCTACCCCAGTGGTGCCTGGGAGGGCAGAGTCCCGGGACGGCCCCAGCCACCCACCTTTTCTCAGTTGTTCCTCAGACGCCGGCCCAGGAGCTCTGTGAGGGGATTTTGCAGATGAATTTAAGGCCCCAAAACAGCAACTTTAAGATCTTCCTTGGTGGGCCTGACCCAGTCGGCTAAGCCCTTAAAAGAGATGGGGCTCTTCCTGGCATGAGAGATTCCAGGTGCGGGGAGGATTTGACACAAGGGGCTTCTCTGTGTGGCCCTGAAGGAAGCAGAGGCCGCCTGAGCAGGATAAGAGCCACCCCACGGGCAGCCGCCAGGACCCTGGGGCCTCAACACTGCAGCTGGGAGCAGAGCTCTGCCAAGCCCCTGGGGGAGCTGGAGAGCCTGGGCTCGGAGAGGGTCACAGCCCGGCAACCCCTCCACGTGGGCCCAGAGACCCTGAGCAGACACCCACAAGCTGATAAGTGCCTGAGCATCAGTGATCTTGGGAACCACACCAAAGCCTCCGTGGGCTCCTCTCTCTCCTGGAATATAAGCCAGAGTCCCCTGTGGCACCACTGCCCCCACCTCGTCTCCTGCCCACGCCCTGGAGGCAGGCTGCCTACCCATCGCCCTGCTTCCCACCAACCTCGGGGCATTTGCACGGACGGCGCTCTCCATGCAGTGAATTTTTTCCGCGGGCTTGTGGCTGGCCTGTCCCCTCAGGTCCTTGCTCAGAGGCACGCCCTTGGCCACGCCCTGTCCCTCCTCACCTGCTCTTTGTTCCGCCCCCCCTCGTTATATGACCTCACATCCTCCTGTGTGCGGTGTGGGTCCCTCCTGAGGGCTGGGCTTGCTCACAGCTGCCTCCCAGCTCCTAGAGGTGCACCCAGCCTCAGAGCCACATACTGAGGGCTCAGCCATGGGCCCGTCTGGGGTGGGACCCCGAGCACGCCACGCTGTTCTCGGGATCCAGGTCGTAGCAGCAGTACCGTGTCTGAGACGGATCGGTGTCGGCTGGAGCTTCTCCTGCAGATGTGTGGATTTGGATGAAGTCTGTGGTAGCCTCGTGTCTGAGACGGATTGGTGTCAGCTGGAGCTTCTGCAGACGTGCGCGAATTTGGATGAAGTCTGTGGCAGCCTCGGGTCTGTAGGTCTCCAATCACCCTGTCCCCTCCTCACCGTATCCAGCACAGCTGCGTCCTGAGGCTGCGCCTGCACTCCGGGTTCCTGCCATGCCAAGCCCCCTTCTGTGTCCCCATGACAAAGGCCATGCACTGGGGAACTGAAACATCCCAGATTCGTCTTTCAGGTTCCCTGGGGCGTGCCCCTTCCGGAGGCTCCTTCGGGGGCACAGGTGTTCCTTGGTGTCCCTTGGTGTCTTCATGCAGCCACCTCACCTGCACGTCGACGTCTCCTCTTCTGCCTCAAAACCCCTCTACCTTTCTCCCAGGACACCCGTCATGAGATTCAGGGCCCACCGTATAATCCGTTATGGTCTCATCTTGAAAACTTTGTTACCTCTGCTGCAAGGACTTTTCCAAACGAAGTCACGTTCACAGGCTCCTGGGACAGGGAGTGGACATGCCTTTCAGGGGCCGCCTTGGACTCGGTAAATCTGACTCAGAGGTTTGCTGTCTTGACAGCTGCCCCCAAGTGGGGCTCCCCTCCTGCCCCAGCGTCACCCACAGGACTCGCTCTCCGTCTCACTCCACCCGCAGGAAACACAGACTCCCCCACCAGCCACTCCTGCACACGGACCACCGTGGTGCTGGGGCCCAGCGGGCTGAGACCCCTCATTGTGGTTGGAGCCCACAGGTTGACGCCCCAGCCTGTTCTGTGGCCTTTGGCTGAATTCGCTGGTCTCTGGATGCCTAGAACGGCTTCCATGAAGTGCCAGAGCAAAAAACTAAAGATGTCAGGAAGGAACGGCTCCAAATTTTCCTTTTCAAGAGGAGACTCTGCATTTCTTTCCACTTGCGCTGCTGATTTCCCCTCCCTGCAGACGTCCGCACCAGCCCTGCGCTGTGTGCCCTGGAGCCAGGACTGTCCCTGTGACCTGAGTGGTCCCCTCTCTTCCACCTCCATTATCTGTGGATGCACAGGTGCCACACAGAGCCCTACAGCTCTGTCCAGGTCCCGAACCCAAGTGAGGCAGGTTTTGAAAGGCAGCCAAGTGAGGGATGCCTACACCTCGGGGGCTGCACACCCCCGTACGTTGCTGCCCAACGTCAGGACGAGCTGCGGAAATTACACCTGGACTCTCTGTCTGTCACCCACAGACAGCAGCTCCCGGTTCAGCCTGCGTCCCTCGTCATCCACGCCCTCTACTCACAGTGATGTCTGCCCCAAAAGCACTTCGCTTAACCCTGAAGCTGCAAGACCTGCCACCCTACTGTCCCCTCTAGTTTTCTGAGGTTTGAGGAACAAGGAATTGGGTGTAAAATCAGGAAATATCCTGCGTGTAAATTCTTGATTATTCTTGTCCTTCCGGGCAGAGCCGCCTCCCGCGATTCAGCTGTTTGACTCTTTCTTGCTGAAGGATGAGGGTTGCGGGGGGCGCGTGGGTGCCCCGGACCCAGAGGCAATGGCGTGTCCCCTGGTGTAGTGGTCGGAGCAGGCCCCGAGGAGGTCGTGGGCTCAGAACTCTGTCCTTGTGTCATCTTAGAAAAGATGTTTCAACTTGCCAACCGTCAGCAAGAGCTAAAAACAGGGCTGGAGAATTTACCACTGAGGAACTTATGATCTGAAGTGAAAAACGCTGAGAACAGACTTGCCACCGGTGAAAACCACAAAGCCGAAATGGAGGCCGTGCCCAGAACACAGAGTCTGCCTGCACTGCGTGTCTCACGCCCTGCCGCGGACGGCGGCCCCCTTCCACTGCCCAGCAGCTCTTGGGAATCTCGTTTTGCTTTTACAGGAACGTGGCATGGTCAGAGGCAGCCATCAGCTGTCTGGGGACCTGGATTTGACAGGATTGTTCCATCCCACGTCCAGGCAGCCCAGGTGTGTGGAGACGGGGCAGACAGGAGACCCTCCCCCTGGCCTGTGCTGTCTTCCCGGGAAGAACACTGGAGACCTTCGTCTCTTCCTTTCCTCACCTTCCCCAAGCACTCGCTGCACAAGCCCCCTCCTGCCTTGCCCCTTCTCCCACCCCACTTCGGTTTGGTCCCAGCTTACATCTCATCCTAAGGCTTAAGTGTGCAGCTGAACCGCAGTTCTCAGATGAGCTGCAGCACTCCAGCGTGGCACCTGCCTGGGCAGTCCTGAGAGAGGGATTCGAAGTGGGGAAGGACCCCGGAGTCTTCCCGGCACATGGTCTGAGGCTCCAGCCACCAAGTCCCAAACTCAGTCTGCGCTCACCACGACCCGACGGCTGCTCCAACCTGTGGGGACCGATCCGATCCTGCACTTCCTGAGGCCGACAGCTTTTTGACACCCAGGCTTCAGCCACAGACAGACGTTCCCTGCCTGGGGGAGGGGGTTGCCCTTGCTGGAAAGAAACAGAAATGGACAGAGGGTCACTGGGGTGGCCCTGGGTGTTCTGCGGAGAATCAAAGTCGTGAGATGGAGACAGGAATCCCGTTAGGTTTGGGCGGAGCCGCATGTGGTCCTTTCTGGACCTACTTCTAGGAATCCGATGGTTGCACGACCTCAAACCAGTTGCTGTGGGATAAATGTTTGTGTCCCTCCGAATTCAGATGTCGAAACCCTAACCCCGGAGGTGGTGTTTGGGGAGGCAAGGCCTTTGGGGGGAGATTAGATCATGAAGGTGGAGCGCCCAGGTGGGATCAGTGCCTTTGTAAGGGGCTGAAGAAACCAGATCTCGTTCCGCAGCGAGGCCATGCCTCAAGGAGACCTCTGTGAATGCGGAAGCCGCTGTCACCAGACACCAGGTCTGTGGGCACCTTGATCTTGGACTTACCTGGCCAGAGCTGTGAGATAAATTTCTGTTGTTTGGGCCTCCCGGTCTGTGGTGGTTTGTTATGGCCGCCCAGACAGACCAACAACCGACCTGTGTGAAAATGTGAGTCATAAAGGGGTGATGTTGACAGTGAGTCACTGCCGTAAACGAGTGGTGTTGACAAAGGCGTCCTGTCCAGGTAGGAGCTCCGTGTGGCTAAGTGGTGTCCGGCTTCAGAAAGTGATGCCTTCTTGATGTCATCTTCACACTGACAGGAGTTTTTAGTTCTTATTTTAAGACTTTTCTACCCGACAGTTAACTTAGCATACAGATATCACAGTAGATTAACCACATGAATGCTTTCATTCCTAAGCAGCTCATGTGGGCGAGTTTCTAAAGCCATGTTTGGGCTGATGCATCACACAAGGGGGAGTCCCTAAGATGCATTATGTCCATGGGAGAAAACGAAGCAGGACACACGTGTGAGTCGTCACACCCTTGGTCACCCGGCTTGGCCATCACACAGGCCTCCTGCCCAGAATGTGTGTGCGTGTGTGTCTCCCTGTGTGTCTTAGCTCAGGCTGCTTGCTGTGACAAAGTCCCCTAGACTGGGTGGTTTAAGCCACAGGAGTTTATTTCTCTTGGTTCAGGGCAGGAAGTCCCGGATGAAGGCACCGGCAGATGTGCTGCCTGGTGAAGGCTCACTTCCTGATTGACAGACTGCCGCCTTCTCGCTGTCCTCATGTGGCCAGGCGAGCAGAGCAAGCCCACAGAATCCCATTCACGGGAGCCCCACTCCCACAGCCTCCTCACCTCCCACAGGCCCCACCTCCCAGCACTGTCCGCCTGGGGTTAGCATTTCAACACATGAATTCAGGGGAAGACAAATATCCAGTCCATAACAGTGTATATGTGTAGATGTGTGTGTGTAGATGTGTGTATGTGTAGTGGGTGTGTGTGTGCATGTGTAGCTGTGTATGTGTAGGTGTGTGTATGTATAGTGTGTATGTGTGTGTATGTATAGATATGTGTATGTGTAGATGTGTATATGTGTATGTGTGCATGTGCATGTGTAGCTGTGTATGTGTAGATGTGTGTGTATTGTGTATGTGTGTATGTGTAGTGTGGGTGTGTGTGCATGTGTAGGTGTATGTGCAGATGTACATGTGTAGATGTATGTGCAGATGTGTATGTGTAGATGTGTGTATATGTAGATGTATGTGTAGTGTGTGTGCGTATGCATGTGTAGCTGTGTGTGTAGCGTGCTTGTGTGCATGTGTAGCTGTATATGTGTAGATGTGTATATGTGTAGTGTGTAGATGTATGTGTAGTGTGTGTATGTGTGTATGTATAGTGTGTGTGCATGTGCATGTGTAGATGTGTGTAGATATGTAGTGTGTGTGCATGTGCATATGTAGCTGTGTATGTGTGGATGTGTGTACGTGTAGTATGTGTGTGTGTGTGTGTGCATGTGTAGATGTGTAGCGTGTATGCATGTGTATGTGTAGCTGGATATCTGTGTATGGTAGCTGTGTATGTGTGTGTAGCTGTGTATGTGTATATCCATGTGTGTATGTGTAGGTGTGTATGTACATGTATGTACATATACATATATGCATATGTGTGTAGCTGTGTATACATGTGTGCATAGGTGTGTGTCTAGCTGTATGTGTAGCTGTGTATAGCTGTGTATGTATGTGTGTCTGTGTTTATAGGTAGCTGTGTGTGTAGCTGTGTCTGTACATGTGTATATGTGCATGTATGTGCGTATATGTGCATGTATGTTGTGTATATGTGCATGTATGTGTGTATAGGTAGCTGTGTGTAGCTGTGTGTGTGTCTTTGTGTAGCTGTGTGTGTATTAAACTGAGTGTATCTCACATTAAAGCAAGATCCCATAGGAGCCATACTTCATTCTGGCGACGGGGATGAGAGGGAGTTGCAGCTGCCTTCCGCCCCTAGCGAGTGGGTGCAGGCCCAGTTGCTTGGGTGTGAGAGCTCACATGCAGGTGTGACAGGTCTCAGCCAGGACAGTGGTTCTTGGACGTGGGTGGGGACCGGAGGCTGTCCCTGGTGCCACGTGGCAGGGTGCTGTTCTGAACCACAGAGGAGCTTCGGAGCCCTCTGTCTGTGGCATTCAGCCGGCCTCCAGTTACTAGGCCAGGTGCAGACGCAGAAGTAGAGCTTGTTCTTGGTGCCATTGGCCCTGCAGGGTCCTGGCACTGCCCACCTTGGTGGAGATGGTTTCTCCAGAGAGGGACTCTGCCCCCAACTCTGCGTCCAGCGGTGTTTGGCTGCCTCATAACCTGCAGGTGCGGGAGCTTTGGTGCCTGCTTTTCAATCTCAGTGGACAGGCGGGGATTTCCACGCCTGACTTGGGAAGAAAGAACAGGGTCTTTGCTTTCCTTTGGCTTTGGCGCCTGCTTTTCCAACCTCAGTGGACAGGCGGGGATTTCCACGCCTGACTTGGGAAGAAAGAACAGGGTCTTTGCTTTCCTTGGAGGCTGCAGCACAGAGAGTTCGGAGATACCCAGGGTAGCAGCAGCTTGAGACCAGCACCAGCAACCAGCTGAACCAGGCTGTGCGGCCCAGCTCCGGGGTCACCTGGCCCCCATCCTCTCCCCTGGGCAGCTGGAGGCTGCCTTTAATGGCGACTGAAAAGTTGCCACGAGCTCCTGATCATTGTGGTAGGTACTGCGTGAAGCTGAGACACGCGTGAGCCACATCCTGGGGGCTTTGAGCCCCCACCGCGGCGGTGGCTGAGGGAAGGCTTGTCACACTCGCTCAGGAGGACACGGGGCCGCAGTGTTCACTCAGCGGCCTCTTACCATTGGGATCGAGAAATTTTCCGAGAGGAAGTGAGAATTAACAATGATGAAAGGTTTGTGGGTGAGTGACAGGCCTGTTCTGTTGAGGACTGCATGGGACATTGTGCGCTGCCAGAGACGGGGGCAGAGGTCAAGGGCCCTCGAGGGCTGGGAGAGTTCGGAGGGCAGAAGTCATCAGAGCACAGCGGAGCCGGACCCAGCAGCCGCCTTCCCACTCAGGGGCTTCATTAGAACCCAGCATTGCAGGGACTGAGCTGTCCCAGGTGAAGGGGAGGCCATCACGGTGCGTGGACGCCCCTCGGCTCAGCCCTCTAAGAGGCTCGGCAGCTGGGATGGGCCCGAGGCATGAGCCCTCAGAGGAGGTTAAGAAGGAGCTAGGGAGAAAAGATACGTTTGTGTGACGTGCTGGCCGAAGTGAGAACAGTCGTGTCAAATAATGAGTCATGTCCCATTGAGGGGTGCTGACAAGGGCTGGACAGGCTTTCGGGAGGAGGCCACGGAGCCCTGTGCTGAGGAGACCCCCACAGGGAGCCTCATGGGCCCAGTGTCCCAGGATCACTGGATGGTAAAAGCTGCCCTGCCTGGCATCCTGGCGTGGCTGGGCTTGGCCAAGACCCAGAAGCAGAACTTGCGGAAGCCTGAGGCGGTGGCTGTAGGGGGCGCGAGGCGGCAGCTATGGGGGGCACAAGGCGGCGGTGGACTGTCGCTGTTAAGAGACAAAGCTATGGTTGTCGCAGGCTGTGTGCGCCCTGGGTCTTCTCTGTGAGGACATGGATGAGGGACGGCGAACTCCCATTATCTGTTTGCCATAAAAAGCTACCCTAGACTTTGTTCGCTTGAAACAGCCCTATTTTACAGATTTATTCTTCATTTAGTGGCTCAGGAGTTCCAACGGGCTCAGCTAGGCAGTTCTTCACTCCACGGGGCGCTGACTGGGTCCTCCACTCAGCTGTGTCCTCGTGGGGGGCAGGCTGGAAGGTCCTGGGGGCTGCCGTCCCGCACCCCCACCTCCCTGCCCTTTCACAAAGCCCGCCCTCAGCCCTCGGTGCTGGGCCTCCTCAGAGCAGGTGGACGCTGGGCGGTGGAACCACCTCTCTGATGACCGTGGGGCATGAGAGGGCAGCTGCAGTGTCCTGAGTCCCAGGCTCACTTCCGCTGAGTCCTGTGAGCGAAACAGGTCGCAAGGCCGGACCCCGGCTCGGGGGAGAGAAATGGATTCCGTTCGGCCAAGGTGGCACGGCAGGGTCAGTGGCCGACTCCAGCAGGCAGACCTGGAGCCCAGCCTGTGGGACTCCAAAGTCAATGTTCAAATGGAGCCCTTTGAAATTGAATTGTTTAAAAGGCGGCAACGTCAGAGAAGCTGGACGATACCCACCAACAGCACAGTTAGGCAGGTTATTAGGGCACATGCGATGTGGAATATTATGCGATATTTAAAATAATGGTTACATTGTTTAAAAGCATGGAAACAGTTTGTTCTCGGGGTTAGGAAGGAGGCAGGAGACAAGCTTCTCTATCCAGTATCATCTCAACAAGGTTAAAAACGCCCAGAGAAAAAGGCTCGGAAGGAAACACACTGTGAATTGTCACGGTAGCTGTCCCACGGTGGTCACGATAATGGGTAATTGTCTAAATTCACATCACTTTTGTGTACTTTCCAAATACTTTCTTCAAGCAGCACACATTTCTTCCAAATAAAAATTATGTAACGATGAAGAACATGCCTCAGTTTTAACTGAAATACTGGGTGCTGATGGAAACGGGCCAACATCCATGGAGTTCTCGGGGGCCGTGGTGCCCTCGGCTAAGTGTCTGCCTCTGTTCTCTCCCCAGGTGGGCGGGGGCAGGACGGAAGCCCGGTCATCACCTTCCCTGACTACCCGGCCTTCAGCGAGATTCCGGACAAGGAGTTCCAGAATGTCATGACCTACCTCACCAGCATCCCCAGGTGCGTACGCTCAGAGCCCGGCAGACACTGTGGTTCGGGGCAGAGTCTGAGATTTCACCATCGTGGGGTCCCCGCAACTATGGGATGAAGCAGAGTCTCTGTGAGATTTCCGCGTTGTGGGGTCCCTGTGAATGTGGATCGGGGCAGAGCCCCCCATGATTGTGGGGCAGGGCAGAGTCTCTGAGGTTTCACCAGGATGGGGTCCCCGTGACTGCGGGATGAATTAGGGTCTGTGGGAGCCACCGTTGCATTCCCCGTGGCTTTGCTGAGGGGTTAGAGCTTTGTCAGCATCATGGCTCTGAGGAGCTCAGGAGTCTGCCTCGGAGCTGATCTGGAGTCCGAATCCAGCCTTTCCACTCCAAGCTGCTGTTCTTTCCTGTGTTACCACCTAGAGGCTCAGCTGCTCAGCAGTCGGGATCTGGCTTAGCCTGAGCACTGCTTTTCTCCCACATAAACTGTCACTGCGCTTGCCTGTTTGATCAGCAGAGCTCTGGTGTGAGGGGTCTGTGTTCTTAATGCCGCAGAGGCCATCTGCGCAGGGCCAGAGGCTCATGGGAGCAGAGCCCGTCCACGTGGCCTCTCTGCGATGTGGTCAGGTCCTGGGGGCGTGGCCGCCTCCTGCCCTTTCCAGGAGAGAACTGACCCCAGAGGTACCAGAAAATCGGGTTAGCAAAAATGGTTCCCTCAGGCTGCAGCTTTTTTGTTCCAGGCATAGCCGGGTCCCCGTCCTCTGAAAAGGTAGGGAGTCCAGTTCTGTGTCTCCCCAGCGGCCGGCGGGAGAGCAGCGTCAGGCCGGTGAGCTGCAGGCTGACTTCGGGGGGCACCACGGGGGTCTCGCATCTGCTGCGGTCACCCCAGCCACCAGGAAGATGCTGAGAATGTCAGCCACACACCAGGCAGTGTAGCTGCTGCTTCCATTTGGGGTATAGTGAACCACGCACCAAGTAAAAACAGAAATATCCTTAAATGTGGCATCTGTATCCCTCACATTACACAAGGTGGAAAACAGAGCAGATGTTTAACCATCAGTGTGAAAGTGCGGCCGCGGCCATTACCGTGAAGGTTCTCCTTCATTCTTCAGTCTTTAAAGACAACAGCGCACTCTGCCTGGTAACTGAGAGCTCAGCACGTCGGCCTGACCTGGAAAACAGCACATAGATCCCCTGACGAATGTCACATACCCACCAGTTGGCAGCAGCCAGCCTCTGCGGTAGTGCCTTGAGGAGAGAGAGAGCAGTGGGCACCTGTGTCCACTTGCCGGGTTGAGGTGGGAGCTGGCGGAGCAGGGAGCTTGTGAGCCTGTCCGGGCAGGACGTCTTGGTGGGCAGAAAGGAGGGGGCTCGTGGCCAGCTATGGTCAAAGGCCTGGACATGGCAGTGTCCTGGTAACCCCAAATCACTGTGTGTTGGGTTTGTGGTTCTGACCTCGGTCTCTTGTCTTTTGTGAGAATCTTGCACCCACCACGCACGAGGCTCTGCTGGCTGAGCTGAGTGCACGGAGGAGGGGCTGGGTCTCGGGCCAAGTGGCCGAGTTCCCTGAGGGCTGATGGGACCGGCTTGGTGGGGCAAGGCTGCGCACGGAGGAGGGGCTGGGTCTCCGGCCAAGTGGCCGAGTTCGCTGAAGGCTGATGGGACCGGCTTGGTGGGGCAAGGCTGCGATGCTGCAGATGGTTTCCACACATTCGTCCCTGGTTCTCAGTTACACTGTGGCAGGAAGGCGGTTATTAAGCCCATGTTATAGATGAGGCTTAGTAACAGGGTGATGACTGGAGAAAGTGGATGGCTGGGCAGGGGAGCGCCCGAAGGCTCAGACCCATGGCCCTATCCCGAGGACAGGGCTCCAGGTGTGCTGTGGCCAGAGGGGTGTCCTTGGAGAGGGCGGTGATCTCCAAGCCTCTAGACCTGTGTCTGTCACCTGCACGGGAGGAAGAGCCTGTGCCCCAGGGGACGGCCGGCCTGGCAGGTACATCTGCCCCCTGATGGCACCTCCGGGCATGGGGCTAAATGAGATTCTGTGGTGTCCACACTGAATGCTGACTGGTCAGACTCATTCTCAGAAGTCAGGGCTGCTGTCAGTGCTTGCTGCTTGGAGCCATGAGCTGGGGGGTCTCCTGTTTGTTGAACCTTCCTGTCTCTTTTGTCTTTGAAACTTCACGGAGTCCCTTAGCTACCCGCATCCCTTTTCGTGAGATTTTCCAGCATCTGCGGTGCTCAGAGGCCACCCATCAAGACCATAAGAGTGTGGTACGCGGCACGTGTTCATATGTGCACGCCGCTGTTTATCCGATGTTCTGAAACCTTCCATAGCCCCCTTGCCACTGCCCCACTCCTCTGTCTGCTTCTTCTCCTGAGATCCAGGAATATCAGATGCGTCCAGATTCCCGCAGGACGAGACCCACTCAGCCATCTCTGTAGATTGTGCGTCTGTGAGCCGCACAGCCTGGTCTGGCTGAAGGTGGCTGGAGCACAGGCCCAGTCCCTGCGGTGGACACGCGGGCCCTGGGATCCCCAGAGGCAGCTCCATGGGTCCCCACTGTTCGCCTGTGTATGGAAACTTGGGTTTTCTGGTCACACTTAGATTATAAAAAGTGGAAGAGGCGTTTTATATCACCAAATGGTCTAAGTCAGATCCTGGAAATGCCAGCTTCGTTCAGCCCTGAGCAGCACTGCTGAGCGTGGAGCTGTTTCCCCCACCGGACTCAGTGTGGGTGTCTGAGTGTGCGGGGTGAGTGTGTGGTGTGTGTCGTGTGAATGTGTGGTGTGGTGTGTGTGTAATGTGAGCCTGTGGTGTGTGTGGGGTGTGTAGTATGTGTGGGGTGTGTAGTATGTGTGGGCTGAGTGGGGTGTGTGTAGGATGAGTGTGTGGGGTGAGTGCGGGGTGTGTGAGGTGTGTGGGTTGTGTGGAGTGTGTGTGAGTGTACGCGTGCATTCTATCCACGTTTCCTTCCCTGTGTGGTGTGTATGTAATGTGAGCATGTGGTGTGTGTGGGGTGAGTGTGTGGTGTGTGGGGTGTGAGGTGTGTGTGGTATGTGTGGGGTGTGTGGCGTGTGTGGAGTATGTGTGGGGTGTGG